GACAACGTCAAAAACCGGGTTGATGGCATTATTTTCGGCGAAACACGCCATGCTTCCACATGCACGCGTTCTCTTCAATACTCCCCGGCGCACCGACGAAACTAATTCATCACGTTCCATTATCATCCCGCACATAAATCCTTCCGGAGGAGTCAGTCTCTCTTCTTTGTGGAGGAGAAAAAGACGAAGAAGAGGAAACACGCCCGTATGCATGCGTCTCCGCACGTACGACGCACGCACGCACGCACACGCACACATACGCACGCTCGCCTTGTGGAGGCCGGGGCCACTGACTCACTGACTCATTCGGCATAAACGCGAAGCACGAAGAGGCTCTTCTTCGGCCGAGCCGCCTCGTCGGGAAGAAAAGTGGAGCATCGACCTCGAATTTTAGTCTTTTTATCTCCCGCCGACTGTCACCACTTCTTTTCTACCGGTGATCGGCGCTTTCGCGATTGTGCAATCGCGCGAATTGCCGCGACATGGAATCTTAAAAATTCTCCATCCCTTGTATCACGTCTTGGTCGATAATATATGCACCGAGAGAAAAATGTCAAAGTATTGCGAAGTACAAATTATTTACGACGTACGTTTTCTTCGATATTTATGAGTTATGAACAAATTTGTTTGCGATGACAGTTGCGATGACGAAATATATACATTTCGGTGAAATATATTTCATTAATTATTATAGAAAATAAAACAGATGGCTTATTTGCTAGGAATAAAATTTTATGTCGCTGTATTTAATAAATAAAGATTTACTTTAGTGAAATAAATATATTTCTCACAAGTAAACTTTCAAGTATCTTTTTCTCAGGGTGAAATTGCGAAAATTTGAAAAACACGCTATTGGTTAAAGTTTAGGACTGCATATCGGATTTTAGTACAAACTCGTATTGGTTTAGATTTTAGTATAAAGCCGATATTATCGATTAAAAAATTGTAAATTTAACGAGTATTAATTCGAATGGAATATTATTTAAACAGTGTATCAGTTTTTACTTACAATTAGTTATCTTAACTAACATTTCGATCGATGTTTACTCGCAAGGTATTGCATTCCTTGTTTTTTCAATAATAAAAAAATCATGAGAATACCAAAAATTTTTACTTAACGTTGCCATAGTAACGTGTAAGTATTAGAAATGTTGTAGAATATCATTGTTACCGAAAATTACGATCTAATATCGCTAAAATTGGTTTAGACGAAGATACGAGCGAAAATATGAGATTTCAACGAGACGACCCGGTACATCCGCGATGTGGAAATCGCTCGTGCGACCACCCAGCGCGACTATCACGAGCAAAAAGTTCGCGAGGCTTGCTACTCGCTTCGCCTCTTATTATAGGTGCGCATTTCTCGGACCATCGGCCGAGATACGTCGAACGCAATTGAAAATAGCACCAACGTGGATTTAATGTAACATCCTTTCGTCACAGTAAACGGATATAATTTAAACATGACGCGGACAGACGGAAATTGAAGATATTATTGCAAGAAAACGTGGACATTCAGCGTTCTTGTAAAACGAACATAAAAATCGTAAGCATCTGCTATCTATAACTCCATCGCATTTTAGAAACGCGATGTTTCTGTCAAAACACTGGATGTACGCGATAAATCTTCGATGTTTTGCAATAATGAGAAATAAGAAACGAACACATCATACTCTCTAAATTCTTTGGAGTGAAAATTATATGCCAGTCTTGAAAGTGTGGCTCAATTTTCAATCTTTAAGAGTGGAACCTCACTCTTCAAAATAACAATTCAGTTTAACGAGTTTGAGAGAGTACATATTTCTGGCGATTTTAAAGGTTAACCAAAAAAAAAACTCTTACTAAACATTACCAAACTTCCATATGTTACCAAACACTTTGAAATCACTTGGATTTCTTCTTCTAGGGAATATATATTAAGAATATATTAGGTTTTTTTTTTGTTCGCGTTGTTTGAAATTCCCACAAATTTTTGCACAAATTTTTTAAAACGGGATAAATAAATATTCGAGCGTTGAAAAGAAAGAAAGCAAAAATATTGAATGTAAAAAATACAAGCAACGCAAACATACTTATTTATTCCACCAAGAGAAGTTTGTTAACATGTGAAAGTTTGGTAATTTTTATTTTCCATTATTTCAAAATACCAGAGATTCAGTGTACAACCTATAAAAATAGGATAAAGAGACAATAATACAGAGTTTTTACAAATTTCTCGTCCTAAAATTCCATAACTTTCTTTAATTTCCCTGACATTTCTCAAATTTTCCCAATTTCCAGTTTCGTGGCAGCTCTGTAATGATAATTGTAATACAAAATTTAATTTTTCTGTCAGTTCGCTGGAACGATATTCCCTCATAAACGAGAGGTATCAGAGTTTACGAAAAACGAGATAACGGTCGCACGAGATCGTGCAGCAATTTTGATGGAAGCTCTCGGGTCCGATCGATGAAGGAAAGCGAATCGATATTAACGCGTGATCGTTCCGGATCGAAACAGGCATCCTCGAAAGGCATCGCGGTACCGTACGCACATTTTCGTCCACGAGAAAGATCTCGGAATCCGATCTCCCGATTCCGTGTGCGACAGGTCCCAAGAGATCTCAGTAGTTACAGAAGAACTGCTAGGGATGACACGTCTGGATCCCGCGGGCCCAGGCAGGAAGTTGATCCTTCGATCCGGTACTTTCAAAAAACACGTCTCGAGACCACCCGCGTATGTGAAAAGTTCACAGCTCGTCAGTTGTCGCATAGCTCCGGAGAGACTTGGCCTGTTTGCGGCTAAATTGTGTGCGTGAATGGGTATTAATGCGAAAAGATAAACAGTTTTTAAAAATAAACAATTCGTAAATCAGTGACAATGGGAAAGATATTTTTAAACAGAATTATTATACATTGAAAAAGATAGAAAGGTGATCCTAAACAAACAGCTTACTTTTTGCAACTTTTTCTTTAACACCGTTTTCATCAAAAGGAAAAACTGCCACTTAAAATTTCTCTTCCAAAATTTTCGAATGTAAACACTCCATTCATCAATCGCTGCGTTACAGTTCATAGCTTAGTCCCTTGGAAACTTGATATGCAATGGACATGTACGTGTATAGGAATAGTAATGCAAGCATTTCGTAAATAGACAATTCATGAATCAGAAAGGTGGACCTAAATAAATAGCTTAGCTTTTCCAAGTTTCTTCTTTATAATTATTTAATATCTTCGTCGATTTAAGAAAAGAAAACTAATTAAAAAAATGTTCTTTCAAGAGCAAACCTTCCGAATACAAAAATTTCGTTCAACCGTGAAGTATTTTCTTTCGTGTCGAATCATTTCTACTCAACTTTTCCGGCAATGGACCACCCAGTATAAACTTCCTTATGGCACAATTAAACGATTTAAGACACGACGAACGGAATGAAGAGACGAAGAGATTCGTTGCTCTTTCAAGGAGTATCATTTTATGGCAGTGGCAACGGACTGTAGAGGCATCATCGATAATACCGCTCTCGAGGCAGCTTCACCGACGACGGCGATAAGAGTCGAGTAGCGCTAACCGCCGTTAAAACGCATTTTCGATCGTCAAAGTACGCCTCGTTAATCGCCGATCGAAGATAGCGCGATGCCCAGTAGGAAATAACGGCGCCGTTATCGCCAACGGTTAATATAATTTGCATTGAGTTAACGCAATTATCTTCACATACCGAAGGGCCACGCGATGCCGTGTCGAACTATTATCCTACGTCTACCTATTTGGCGTAATAAGAATCGATAGCGATATTCATATCTCATGGCGTATTGGAAAAATTATCTCATCGTCTTAATTAGCCGTCCCTGATATCTACGTTAAGGAACGTAAATAGGTTCGTTAACGTAGTGTTTCACGCGTAAATAATGTTGGAGATAAGCGGCAATCGACTTTTAAGAGCTGGATTTTTCTTACTGCTTGCTGAATATCTACGATTTCGAATTTTCTTATCAAATTACTCGCCCATTCGCTGTTAATTGGATAAACTTGGTTCCGGTTTCATTTCACAAACATATTTTTTTTTTTCATTTCGAATGATATCGTTGAATTAACTGAGGCGATTTAAATGCCCATACAAGAAATGTTTGATTCAACGAATGTTACATACTATTTCAAGTATTTCTTCGTTCTTTTAATACAGACTGTCAGATGTTAGCTTTATATAATTTAATGTATCGATTTCGGGTAATAATTACGCAAATGTTATTCGGATTGTATTTTCAATTTTCAACGTACGTTTCTACAAACTTTTCTCAAACTTTAAAAAAAAAACAATTTATCGAATTATTATGCTAAATGGAGCACGTAAATCTTTTAACAAGAAATGTTGAATATCAATTTAACACAAACTATTCAAATAACGAATTCATTAAATTAACACGAAAATATGTTAAAAATTCAACACAAAATTTTAACAATGTATTTCAGAATCACTTAAACCCAGTTTCACAATTCACGGTTAACTCTTAACCAAGGTTCAACTTATTCATTATCTCTTTCCAATTCTAGAATCAGTAAATTGAATCTCGGTTAAGAGTTAACCGTAAGTTGTGTAAAACATAGGCCTTAATAATTTTTGTATATTTGTTAAAATAATAAAAATTAATTACAGACGTGAATGACCCATCATGTGCAGTACTTACTAAACGATTGGCAAATCATCGTGTGTACTAAAGATTAACTTTAATCTCGGTTTATCTCTTTCTAAGGCCCTGTTTCACAACTCATAGTTAACTCTTAATCGAGGTTTAACTTATTCCTCATCTCTTTCTAATGTTAGAAATGGAAAGAGACGAGAAATAAGTAGAACCTCGGTTAAGAGTCGACCGTGAGTCGTGAAACAGAGCCTAAGAATTAGAAAAAGACAAAAAGTGAGTTAAACTCCGAGATTGACGTAAATCTACATTGGTAGAAATAAAGGAGGGAGGACAGGAGGAGGACGATCGAACGGGGATAATAGGTGAATAGTAACGAGTTCTCACCTTCTCGAGCTGATCCAACGCAATCGCGGCGTCCGTCCAGCTGGGCCTGACGTAAAGATCAGATTCGTGCCGGATTCTGGTGCGTTCCGCTGCCTTGAGGTCCTTCTCGCCCTCCGCGTCAGCATTCTGCCGCGAGCCCGGCGATCCAGAAAGGCGTCCCGCTAGGATCCCCGTGGATATGGGTCCGGACACGGAAACCATGATCTGTCATGCATTCGACCGCCACGCGCGATTACAACTTTCCGAACTCGCTCGTCTTTCTTTCTTTCACTTTCCAACTCTTTCGAACGAGAGGGAATCTTTTTAGTTTCTCATCGATCTCTCGTGGCGGTTCGCTAAAAGAAAATCCTGACGACCCTCGAGGTAACCAACTTGACGTTTCAATATATCGGTCCTTTTTGTTAATTTTCTTGGAGGAGGGGAATCGGGCGATCTTGTCTTTTCTGAACCAACGGTGGCCCTTCCCGAAGCTCGAAATTCGCGCACGAGGACGTAACGAATCGATGCGCGCGAAAACGCGTATTCTCGCACACTCCACTGGCCGAAAAAAAATCGCAACACCTTTTCAGGAGCACTTCTTCACTGACACTGTCTGGCGGTTTCCCCGGAACGGAACGATAACACGTGACCCCCCTCCCCCGTGAGCCACGCTCGAAATTCGCGCACGAGGACAGCGGGCAGTGGCGCGCATGCGCGCGCGTCCTGCCGATGCGATGTATCGCGCAGCGCGCTCGGCGCTCGCCGCTCGGCACTATACGCCGCGCCGGACCGAGATGGACCGAGATCGGTTTTTAGGTTACCCGCGGTACGTAAATACGTCTCTCTCCGTCGCTCTCTCTATCTCAGATCTCTTCTCGCCGCCTCTCGCTTACACGGAGCTCGAGGAACGCCCGGCGAGGGCGCGCGCGCGCGCGCACGTTAAAGGGAAAAATATATCGCACGACGCAATTGTTTGTTTTATTTTTCTTTCCTCCTTACGTACAATCGCACGTAAAAGATCGACGATCACGTGTCACCGCGCCGAATATGTACAATCCACGGTATCTCTCGGTTAAGGCCCTTCGCTCCGGGCCCGGCTTGCCGCCGTGTTGTGTCACACTGTCACCAGTCACCACTGAGGGCACTGAGTATCGCCGCCGCCGCCGCCGTCGTCGTCGTCGTCGGCGTCGTCGTTGCCACTGCCGTAGTCGCGTTCGCAGAGTATGACGGGCCCTCTGCGCGGGCCTCTGATGCGGGCTCCTGGTGGTGCGTGCTCCGGCGTGAAAGTGCGACGGCGGACACCGGCGTTCACACGACCGCCACTTAGAGCAGTCTAAGTCGGTACTAAGCGAAACGCGCTGCCACATTTCTTTCGTGGCCTGCCTGCCGCGCCGGCCATAGTTGACGGCTTCCTCCCCTCTCCTGCTCAGCGCTCCGGCTCTCGGGTGCGCAAACATCCAGGCTCGTGCGTAGCCGCGGGCCCCGCGTACCGTCCGCAAAGGGCCCCCGTATCGCTCGCGCGCTGCCCAAATCAGCTTCTGTCCGCTCCGATTACGTATTTAGAGTACAACTCTACGACTCCCTCTTCACGCTCAACGCTCATTTTTATGGGCTTTATACAATAAACCTGATTAAGTCATTATCTAAAAAATTGACCAGTCGCTGTCGAATGTGAGAAGAACAACTTTGATCAATTTTTTAAACTTAAAGCTGTGTTATTAGGCATCGAGATCTGCTTTGATTGAAAATAATTCTTTCTTTTTCATTTATTCTTATCGTTCTCCACTTGTAATTATTTATCTTCTATGAAACTTAAAAATCAAATATGATAGTTACAATCTTTTTTATTTATAATTATAGTTTATTACGGGTTTTCATATTATACACTCGCATTGTTCTTTTTTACAAATAGATGGTATAAAGATTGTTGATAGAACAATTGTATATGAAATTATCGAAAAGCTGCGAACATTTAGAATTATATGATAACTCACTATTTTTTTTTTTTTTTCGATACGTCTAATTATCTAATATTATTATATAAAATTTAAATGACGATAATTGAAAAATATCAAGATATATCTGTCTTTATGAAAATATAGAAAAAGTTGCAAAATGATTAATTGTAAGTGAGACTAAAAGCAAAAATTATGCGAAAATGTGGGTAAGTAATATCGACTTTCGTATCGATTGGCTAATAATCAAATTAAAATCAATAAATAAAAAAATTCGTTATTGTACTCTATTAATTAAAGTATGACGGTTATGTTCGATTGATCGATCGGACAGCTGGATCCTAAACGGATGGATCCGCCCTCGATCGATGCGCTACTGCGCGCCAAAGTGACGTCAAAGCCGAGCGGAACCGAGAAGGGCCGAAGCGCCAGAGACTTGGAGACGATTGGCGGAGGCGCCTTGGCGTTTCACGTTGCTAGGATACTCGGGGACTAGCGAGGGGAGTCGACTCTAGACCACACACGCGTTCCCATTTTCCCTGGAGCAAAAACATTACCCACACCGAGACGCGCGACACACACGACGGTGCACACAGCTGCGCCACGGCGCGCAGTGGTGCCTAGGTAGATGAAACCTGAATTTTTTCCCAAAGTTTCATCTAGATAATATATCCAAACACACATACTCACGTAATTTCAATTCACAGAATGAGAGGCGTATCTTCAAGGCGATTATTGATTTATTCTTTACTAGAAAATCTTTTTACACGGAATGATAAATCGATATTCTTTGAAAGCGCTCTTTTAAATATCATAACACGCAGAAAATCGATCTATGGGCGTTTCAGAATTTGCAGATTGAGCTAGAAAATCGTTAAATTTTTCTCGTTTTGTGCAGCCTCTAATTTTAACACGACGAGATGACGGAGCTTCTTATTTATCTAGATGAGTACAAGCGAGAAGTGATTTTGCAGATAATTAAAAAATAACATTTTTTACAGGGTTGTTTGGCGTCCGTCTCGATCTATCTTCGATTACAACATTGCGTATATGCGAAGATTGAGATTTCTATGCGGCTTGAACTAGAAATAAATACTCCGGGAGTGATCAGCAAGTCGAGACGTCTCTCCTTCGCAACATTTTCTCGCTCCATGTACTTCCAGTTGACACCAACTAAAAGTGACATAACAGCAATGTTATAATTTTGTACTCAACAATCTAACTGTTATGTAATACCATGTGTTACATTACTCTCTAAATTCTTTGGAATCTCATTTTAAAGAGTGAAAATTGAGCCACAAAGAGTGGCTCAATTTTTAGTCTTTAAGAGTGACATTTCATTCTTCAGAGTGGGATTCATTCTAAAAGTTTTAGAAAATATATTTATATTGTTGAATGCAAAATTATAATATTGATATTATGTTACTTTTAGTTTGCGCCCATTGGGTGGTCTCTACGTGATGAAATGTTAGAGGAAGTGAACGAAAATTTATGTTTTATGTTTTTTCGTAATTTTCTGTTTATACACAAACGAGACAAAGATCTACTAAATGAAGAATACGTATATTTTTTTTTCAATGCAAACAAAACAGGTATAATACACAACCTGACTTCTTCTAAAGAAATGTCCTTGCTTGTCATAAAGTAATATAATGTCTTATTGAGACTTAAGAGGCAAAAAATGACCAACTACTGATCAATGGACGATTTTTTGCCAATATATCTTATTAAAGTCAGTTTTCTGTAACAAACGTCAGAATGTTTGGTCCGTAAAATCTCTTTTAGGCACCACTGTTGTCGATCTTTCTTCCCCTGTCGTTTCACGCATTCCTCCATCCACGTTGCTCCTCTCTCCATTTATGCGCGTGCCGTGCATTTGTTTGTTTACCTGCATGCTCATTTGAGGAGAGAGAATCACCGAGGAGCCAATACCATGGCACCGCTGAGGACTCGAATTAATATTCATAACCCACATTCACCGCTGAATGTGGTCGTCGGATTCTCAGTTCGAATGATGTCGTACGCGATTTTCATGTGAGATGAACGGAATTGCAAGCTGAAAGACCACTTTTAGCGATAAATATCGCATATACTGGTTTTTGCCGTCTTAGAAACGCTACTGATCGGCAGAGTTTTACCGAAAAAAATGTGTGTTAAATTATTTATCGATTTTAATTCGAAACATTTCTAACAACTTTATTTCTAATTGTTATATTTACAAATTGCAGATAAGTTAAATACTTCTGTGTCTGCCTAAAAAAAGCAATTGCCTCTTTAATTAATTTCATATCATTTGCTTTGACAAAATTTGAATCAATTTATACATATACGGTTTAATAAAATTAATTGCAATACATAGAAACAAATATAATTTGCGAGAAATGAAAAATAAAATATAATTTATTCACAACTAAGAAAGCATATGTCTTTTCGACTTGAACTAGATCTTAGTGCTTAATATTTTAATGTTAATTTATATACATATCCAGTCTTGTAAACTGCTCGCCGATTTAATTTTCAGTTTTGAATTTTAAACTGAAACTGAAATATTAATATTACAAATTAAATTAACAAGCGATTTATTGATATTGATGCTAATAAACACATTAAAACATTGTAAAAAATCTATTATGAAAAACATCACCTCAGCTAGAGATTTATTACACCGACGCGCAGTTTACAGAACTGGATACGAATATAAATCCACATTGAAATATTATTAAACTCCAAGATTTAGCTCAGACCTTTTTACGTTCTTCAACATCAGTCTAACGCGGACTCTAACGTCATTTATTATTGATAATTTATTCATTTTTAACAATATATGATATTATTAAGGCTTAAAGAAATTTTAAGCCTTCTAGACTTTCAAGGATCTTTTCCAATTTTTCTTTTGCAGCTCCAAGTTACTCGAGACTATAATGGAAAGAAACTTTTTCCTTCAGCACATCAGGGATACGTATCTGTATGTACGATATTTTCTGCAATATATAAGTGCGTGGGAGTAAAGGCCGGCTGTTTTCGATGCCGCTCATTAAGTCGCGCGTCGCGATTAACGTATTAAACAATTAAACTGTCGTCATAATATCTGCATAACGACGTGACTTCATTAGGCGTCGCGCAACCGTTCTCCATGTGCTCGCCTGTGCATATGAATCAGGTCGGGCAAAGGGAAACTTAATGTGTGTTACAAAATAATATTTTAATATATAATAAATAACATTAACAAACTGTACGTACTTTTAAAAGAGTCACATACTTACACAAGTGTACACACACTCTATGTCAAATTTCCTGCGCTTAGAATGTTTATTTTGCAATTCTTATTTTCTCACGGAGATAGGACTATTATTTTTTATATTATGTATAAAAATATAATCTAATGAGCACGAAGAAAACTTCCAACAGTCGCGAAATAAACATTCTACCTGATGCGGGCGATTATTATTTTTGTATAACAGTTTTTACCCGAAAATTGTTTGTGTGTGTGTGTTTGAAATCAATTAGGAATGAAAATGAGATATTAAATGGATACAAAATAATGAACTATTCAATACACACACACATACATACGCAAACGTCTCCGTAAATTTTCTCACGCACAGCTTATTTTAACAGAAACAAAAAATTCTTAAAATATTCGCGTTTATCGTATCTTACGTCAGCGTTGATGTCTTTTCGTATCGAAAGATTTCATTCACGCGCGGCTGCAAGGGTCTTAATAAAAATAAAAAAATGGAAAAAGTGTACAAAATGCTCCACATGCCCGACAAAAAGGGGAGGAGAAAGAGAGCGGAGGATGAGGGAGACGAAGGAGAGATCTTTGCGTATTGTCTCCTTTGACGGACGCATCCCGCGGTCGCGCCGTCGATCGGCGATAAGGGAACGCGCGCGTTGAGGAACCGTTAATAATTTTTATGACACTCTTAACTCGCCACCCGGTATTAAGCGGTCCTCCGTAGGAGACGAGCTTTGATCTTCGCCGACGCCCGGTGTATCGGCTTAATGAGTGCGGGAGCGAGATAGCCGTAGTTGAGTCAGCCCCGCGCGCGCATTCTAAAAGTTCCGCCTGTGGAAGTGTCTCCGCTCGTCGTCGATGCGCGGATGCACGTCGCGTTGCATAAGCCCAGGGGCTTTAGGCCTATCGCGCATGAAATGCATAATAGAGCATAAACATAAGACCGCTCGACCAATGAACATCTTGTGTAAATCAATATGGCGACTTAATGCTGGATGCTCATTGGTCCAACGGTCTTATGTTATGTTTATGCTCTGTTATGCATTTCACGTGCGATAGCCTTTATTCTTCAAAAATATCGCATAGTAAATATTAGGGAAATCTATGATACTGAAAAAAAGAAGCGTTTAATTTTAGGAAATTTAAATGTTTAGCTCTTGTCTCCATTTTTTAAATACATAAAGATATGTTTAATTTTA